AGCCCAGGATTTACACGGTACAGTGTACGAATACGGCTCCACTGTAGACAGTTTTGTCCGCGCTTTTGCCTTACAGTGGTCCTGTACATTGCTCCCTGTACCAAATTTTAACCATTAAAACTACATCGATGCTGTTATTCGAATAACAGAAGTTCCTGGAAAATAATTAGCAGGACGATCTGTCGTTTTGTTTTCCTGTCATAATTTTTTGCAGTGTACGCACAATAAGGGAAGTAAAACGTACACGAGCGGACGTGCGCGGCATGGACGAGACGACCGCCGGGTAATTGTTTTGTCTGCTCACGGCGAGGCGCATGCCTACAGTGCTCTCAAAACGTCTTTACGCCGGAAATGAAATCAATCTTTTTCAACAAAGAGATAATAGAGGGAAGGAAAATTTTGCTCATGTCTCTTTCTAAACAGAACTATGTGACAGCTTATTTTCCAGAACCTCTTTTAAAAGAGGAATGTATTAAAAAAATGACGATGTACGAAATCTCACATACCGCTTAGTGTAACCAACACATGTATAAGATGTTGCCATATGTGGTAAAAATTCCGGATAGTAGATTTTCTATCGTGTTCTACTTCTGCTCTTCAATGTTCTATTTTTGTTTTCAGAAATTTTAATCGTAATATTTTGTGTGTGTTACAGCTGAGGCATGCCACCCATATGAGCCGTTTAAGTGCCCTGGAGATGGAGCCTGCATCTCCATTCAGTACCTCTGCGACGGTGCGCCAGACTGCCCCGACGGCTACGATGAGGACTCCAAGCTCTGCACCGCCGGTAAGAATTTTGGTGTATTATACCAACCCACAAATCCCTCTCCTGTCTCCATCCGAGTTCAATTTGGGGGACCACCCTGAGAATTGCAAAATGGAGCCGCCGGCCGCATGCTGAAATTCACTGTTTACAAGTATTGCGAGAGAAATAAGAAGTGGTAGCTTATTAGATGTGCCGGACCTTTCAGAGCCCAAGGCGTCAACTATGAGAGATAAGCGTGAACAGAAAAATACCCATAAGCAGAGCATAGGATGTGCAGGTAGTGCTCTTTCCGGGTGTCTGACTTGGTATACCTAACTTTGCGTATAAGCTATATATAGCTTTACGTTGCTTCTGAACATGAACAGCCCCTATCACATGAGACTCATTTGTTGCGGAATTTTACGGCCACTTTGATTATGTACACACACTCTAGTCCGTTTCATACAATAGAAAACGTTTTGATGAAACGAAAAAAAAATCAGCCTTTTTAGTAAATAGTGCCCTCCTAAAAGGGTACGATATCTTACCTTTTTTGTTCTACTCAGTGATCGAACGTTTCTTATCCGCGGCGACCTGACGTACCTGATGATCCAGCCTGTCCCCTTTGCGCCATGTAATTAGAACCTCTTTGTCCTCCCCACTTCTCCCTCCTCCCCGTTCCCCTTGTCATGGTGCCTGGGTGCCTGCTGCACTAAACGGGTGTGGGGTGTTTGATGATCCTACCTCCCGCTGGTCTACCGTCCTTTGTGCTGTCCTAAATGAGAGTCTCCTGCAGAGAGAGAGAGAGAGAGAGAGAGAGAGAGAGAGAGAGAGAGAGAGAGAGAGAGGAGGGGGTAGGGGGGGCTGCACCAATATATTAGCGTGTTGTAAAAAGGCACCGAATTTTTGTGCTGTTTGAGAGAACACCAATTTCTGGCGTCTTTGAGCGCCAAAAATTGTCGTGCGGAAGAGGACGCAAGTATTTTAGGTGGCATAGGAGTAGTATGGGCAAAGATGTAAAGTGTAGGATCCGTACGCCAAAATAGATCCCGAAAATTATACGCCACATGTTGCTCTGGATCCTGTAGCATTCACCTTAAGTCGTATACTTTTGAGCCCCCCCCCCCCCTCCATATTACAGTGTGCACATGAGAGCACGTAAGGAACATAGCGATTCTTAAAATTTACCTGTGTATCAATTTGCTGCCCACCGTCGCTGTGCATTTGCGACACGCCACTGAACTTGTAAATTACTAAAACCCCGAACACCTCGGAGGCACCTCGGCCGGGGCGGTAATGGTACCGACGTGGTTTGCGCAACCCGACCCCCTGACGGCCAATTGACCCCCCCTCCCCCCCCATCCCCGTTTAATACCCCCACCCCCTCTCCACTTTCTCGTCTGACGTTGTCTCCCGAAGCTTGTCTCGTTACGCCGTAATAACGGTGGCCAGGACGGCGATAAAGGATTTACGGTCCCATAAATATCTTAGACAAGGCGCTGGCCGAATTATATGCGCGCCGTGGACCTCCTTACGCGCGGCTGCGCCTTGCCCTTGTCCAGAGAAGGTGGTGCCATTGTGCTGTCAGGGCCCAGCGAGAAATGACAATATTGGACACAGTGGGCAAAGAAATAATAGCAGACCGATATCAGACATCCAAAAAACTGTGAGATTTCGAATGAGATTTATAAATAAAATTTAACATCGACACGTTTCTGATATCTAATGCTGTTCTGGTACTGGCCTAATATTTCATGGATCAATGGGGAGTGGAATAAAAAAAGAACAAAAAAGCTTTGAAGTCATACCACTGAAAGGAGAGTGATCCCAAGTACCTCACCCTGCAAAATAAATCAGAGTCTAGTACTGAACCAGCAGAGATCTGCGTTTTGGCGTCGGAGGCCGACCGAGGGGCACCGACATGCGGTCTCCTCTCGGGCGGTCCGTGCTAGACCACACCTAGCCGCAACCAGCCCCCGACCTATCTTCTCACCACGTGGGCCATGTCACAGGCCGCTGGAGACCACACTCCACGTCTGTCTCGGTTGGCCTTCTCCGCCAAAACGCAGAGCTCTGGGAGTTCGGAGTTTCAGAGAGCCGTAGACCAACTCCGTACAAGCCGTTTGCACAAATTTCGGAGTTTACATACGCACTCCTTCTATCCCCGTAGGAGCCTATGTAAATGGGAATACACGAAAAAAAATACAGTTCACTTGTTTACGTATTCGAAGATGATCCCAATGTTATTTTGGGAGAAAATTATTTTTTTTTATCAATTGTTAAAAAACGGTACACCTAGCCCCCTCCCCCCTCCATTGCGCACGGCGTGTCTGAGAGTGGTGTAAACGACACTCACTGGTTCCTTTAAAAAGGGTTTTCTGCAGGTGTGCCCGAACCGTTGTAGGGATCATAGAATCAACAGAGGAATCAAATGCAGCTAACAGTACTGAGGGCGTCCCCGCCTGCAAATCCCCGCATAGGCAGACCCGCCTGACAGGGGTGTGCTGCGGCGGCCTACCCGACAGGCGCTCTGTAGAGTCGCACAGCATCGCCGAGAAGGTGGGGAGTGGTTCTCAAATGCGGAACAGTAGAGAAGGAAAAGTGTAATCATGGTGTACGAATGGCGCAGACCTGTCATGTGGGTGAGTAAAATAATCAACCCAACTGCAGGAGTGTGACAGAATTTTCACACATACCTGCGGATGTGTGAATGACCATTCCCACACTTGGAGCCAGATGCCTCTGTGCAACTCACGATTCGCCTATCTGTAGGTGAGTGACATTTGTACTCAATCATCACGTATCCCTCGTATGGCCATAACCCTTAAGCGGTGCTTTCTTGCTCACACCTGCGGCTCTGCCCTAAGAGTACCCCCTGTTCCTCCATCAATAACTTAGGGGTCCTGCGCAGTATCGTACATAACTTGTTTCGCATAGTATGCATTCCCCAGCGAAGCAGCAGCGTGGTGGGAAATGTTGTATTTTTTCTTATGAAAGTCGAAAGTCGAGAAGTTTCATGAATACGATAGAAGTTGTAAGGCACTCATTTTTTTATGCCTTTGCACTAGTTGAACTGTTGATTGATTTTTGAATGTATATAATTAGGTGTGCGCGCGTCTCACCTTTATCATTAAAACTTTGCACCTCCAGGGTCTACGTACTTTTATTACCCCCC